ATAACTTAAGTTTTAATTCTAGTCCTAACAAATGTAGGAGATCAAAGTGTTTTTTTTTTCTTTTTTTTTGTTTTACGAATTTAACGCTTCAGGGACTGTACGTTATTTATGGCTAGGGGGGGGGGGGTATGTTTACAAAGGGGGGATTTTCAACGCAGTGGAAATGGGGGTTCGTTTTCAAATGCAGTTGAATGGGGGAAAGGGGGTAAACTTTTAGAATAATTTTGTTTCAATTCTTGTTTTGTCGTTTTGCACAGATATATTAAATTGAACTATGTTTTGAAAACCGGCTCTATTTCCTCCAAGTACCGAAGAACCTGGTCCGGGAGTTCGCCTGTTCACAGACCCTCTATTTTCTTTTCAGAGATCTTCGAGCGTGCGTATGAGAATTACAAAACCGCGGGGTATATTGTTGACCTCCCTTTTCGTTGAGTTGTGAAAAAAAGAAGAAAAATTCTATGGGCAGGCATAGGTCTCAGTTAGCCTGCGCCACCGTCGATTCAGCCCCGAAATGAGGGTCTCAGTGGGGTGGTGGCTTTTACGGTTGTCGGCTAAGATTTTGGCTCTTTTACGGTTATCGGTTAATTTTTTTTCAGTTACGGTTAACAAAAAAAGTTGAAAATTAATTTCTTTTGTTTCAAAGAGTTAAATATTAATAAACCTGTTTTTTTATATCTTTAAAGCAAAAAAAAGGTCTTGGAATTTTTGTTTATCGACAATGTGTTTTACAAACAGTGACATCTCTGCTTGTTGTTTCACTAGTATTTCGAGGACACGACCTCCTAAAAATCAAAAATATTAATCCCCAGCAAGGAGCCAGATTTTCGCCATGGAAAAAACTTGGTTCTTCGAGAGAGCGGCGGAAATGGAGCCTAGGTCTTTGTCAACACCTAAAAGACGCTTAGCTTAACGTGCGTACGGAGTCAAAGTAGCCGGGAAATAAAAAAACGCAACCATAAGTGAGCTTAGCACCTTCCTTAAAATTAACAAATCTAGGGAACAATTTCTTTTACGGTTAACTCTTTTTTACCCTAGTTACGGCTAACGGTTAGAATTTTTCAATTTTTTACGGCTGTCGACTAAATTTTTGGCCGATTTACACCTATCGGTTAACCCCATTGAGACCCTCCGAAATCCTTGCTCTGGGTCGGGAGAGGAGAAAAGGGGCGCCTGCTATAAGAACCCCTCATTGTTCATTTCTGCGGCTGCTGATATCCGTACATCTCCGATTGGTTCAGCCGTAGTTGGTAACTTATCTACGTTCATAAAGTGACAAACAACCACGATACAATGACAGGCAACGAAGGAAACATGTTATATTGGCAAAAACGAGTAGTAACTTGGAAAAAAAACCGGCTGTAAGGGCTTGTCAAGCAGGCGGGGATGCTCTGGAGGTTTTGTCTGACCAAACACCAAGTTCAGGTTTGACGTGGCGGCTATTTGGAGAATTGCCCAAAAGAACTTTAAAAGAACTCTCACGTTTCAGTTTATGATTAACTGCCCCGAATGAACTATTATCTGGTTTAAGAAGAGATAACTGAAGCTAACGTAAAAAGTGGAAAAAACTACCCGTGGAGCTTTTATAACTGGGTTCACAGTCTGGCAACTTTCACAGGACGAAAAAATGGATTTGCACAAATTTGCTCCATGCAAATGTATCGCAAAAATGTAAAAACTGAGGTAAATATGGGGCAGAGATGATAAATGCCACAATAACTTGGCAAATATGGCATTTACTATCTTTGCCACATATTTATTCCTTAGATTTCTACTTTTTAGATATATTTGCAAGGAGCAAATTTGTGTAAATCCATTTTTTGATCCAGTGTTTTCTATTTACGCTATTGAGTTGTAAAAAGTTTCTCTGGTTTAAAAAACTGTTGAAATTTGGTGGGTTAGGCACCAAATCCCCCAACTCAAACATTTTAGCGGACTAAGTC